CTTTCTTTCTTTCTTTCTTTCTTTCTTTCTTTCTTTCTTTCTTTCTTCTTCTAGAGATATATAGTATGTACATAGATAGTTTCATGTACAAACTTTCTTTCACATTGAAAATAACTCTTTGCTCTGAATATGAAAATACTTCATACTCATTATAAAAGAATTTACACAAATCAGCAGCATACAAAGCACTGGAAGACATTTTACTAAATCCTGCCACCCAGAGATTACTGCTGTTAACGTTTTAGTGAACATTTCTGTACATTCCTTTATGGACTATTTATTGAACATCTGCCATGCGCCAGACACTGGGAACGAAATAGATGGGGTCCGAACTCTCACAGAGCTTTCCAAATAAGGGAGAGAAGGATAATAAAAAGACTATGTAAATTATATCTAAATTTTCTAATTCAGATGTATACTATTCTTTTACAAAAGTCTTATATAATTTTGAAAATAATCTTTTACCCTCTTTTGAAATAGTAGCTCATATTTTAATTTTTTTAAGCATGTGTTTTGGGTATGTTTTCATTGTAAGGATATCACTCTGTTCCATATTCTTTTCTCTTTTCATAGTAAGTTTATGGGATGTAATATGGTTAGTATTCTGTACTTTTATAAAATTTCATATAAGTACAGAACACTAGCAAGATTACATCCCAAACATACTATTAAAAAAAAAAAGGAACAAAGTAATCTCTAGATAATAGAGATGAGCCTGGAACATCTCTAGATAATAGCTTTCAAAGATTAGGGCCATGACAGAAGGACTCAGGAGCCAACCTGAAGACACTTCTAGTGCCCCAAAATGGGACAGTTTGATTTTAAAAAATAAGAGTTGTAAGTATGTTTAAATCCATGACGTCTGGTGATATGAAAAAAAATTGTTACTGCCTGGGGTTAATGGAACACTAATTCGTTATCTTGAAAGTAGTCAGGAAAGAAATATTTATCCTGCCTTTCTTCTATGAACTGACCACTGGGGAACCATGTAGTAGGCGACGGGAGGCATCACCTAATATTTTTCCACTCAATAAATGAAAATGAAATTGGAGAATCAGAGTACCATCACTTTGCAATCCCCATTGATTTAATGGATCCAGACAGTGAGTGACAATGGCTACAAACATTAGAAACCAGTGAAAACCAGATATTACATGCTTCCTGATGAAATTTTTTAAAAAAGTAGATAAGAATTAACTATTTTGACCAAGGTTGTACAGTGAGGTAATGAAATCCTGAAGAAAATCAAGGAAGTCATTACTGTAAGTTCAAGATTCTGGGGTGGCTAGAAAAAGCTGTTTCTTGATCTGGGCGGTAATTATAGGAGTGTTTTCTTTATAACAACTAATAAGTTGCTTGTTTTATGTAATTATCTAAATCTGTGTTTTATAATACCACAGATTTTTAAAAAATAATTTATGAAAGAATGACACTCTACATGCTACTTTTATTTTAACTTTTCATTATGATAATTTTCAAACATACAGAAAAGTTGACCGTACTGTGTATGTAATGCCAATGTACTCATCACACTGTTCTATAGCTCGTTTATTGTTCAATAATACTTCGTAGAGATCTGTCTGTGTAATTAAATATAGAACATCATCACTTTTAAATAATGCATAATATTCCATTGTATAGATGTGATCCTTTATTTAATCAGTGGCCTGTTGATGAGAATTTAACTTGTTTCGGATTTTGTTCCTAGTAGAAATAATGCTAATATGTCCTTATGATGCATTCTTAAAATTTGCCATCACGGGCTATTCTAATGTGCAGAGTGTAAACGGTTGTGTGTTGTGAATGAACAATGGGAGAAACCAAAGATGCAGCCTGTATTGATCAGAACAACGCTGTGAAATCTAGGGAGAGCATTAGTGTCCAAGGAAGAACTTGATTATCCACAGTGGGGTCTTCACACGGCATCTTACCTCTCCTGGATCGAGATTCAGGTTTAATCCCAGCGGTTCTCCTATTACCTCATTTTGGTGATTGTGGGTATAATTAGTGTATCATTGACCTATTGCCACAATAAATATTGCATAAGAACCACCCCAGAATATAGCTTCAGCAGTAGCCATTAGTATCTACGGGACGGCCAAGGGGTGCTTACAGTCTCTTCTGGGTTCACTCATGCGCCTCCGGTCAACTCCAGGTACAATGTGCAGCCTTTTGCAGTACTCTCCCACGTGCTTGATGGCTAGCTGGCTGAAGTCTGTCTAAGATGGCCTTGGCTAAGAGGATCCAGCTACCCAAGTCTCCAGCATCCTTCCAAGAAGCCAGCCTGCATGTGTCCTCATACTGTGTGAAGCAGTAGCACAGATCATAATCTTTTTCAAGGGGCTGGAAATGGGCCATACGTCTGCAGTTTCTGTGTCATCCCATTGGCTAAGCTCTAAATGACCAAAGCAAGCCCTGCAGCGACACGTCAGAGGCAGTGGGAAGGGACGACAACTTTATGGAGCAGAAGGCGAAGATACAGAGAGGTGTTGACTGAGGCCATTAATGCAGTCCATCCTCCAAAGCCATCCGTCAACATATTTTAAATTGACACTTCTTAGAAGCATTAAACAGTGCCGTTATTTCTAAACTGCAGGCATCGTGCCTTTGAAGTCTGAAAAATGGGGACCAAATATATTTGTGGGAGAATCATCATGCTTTTGTGTCATTTAAAAAAATTCTTGTTAAGGGTTATAAAGGTAATTCATAAATGGCAAAGTCTACCTTTATTCTGTCTTAAAAATATTTCTTTTCCAATTTTGGTATTTTCCCCTGGGATACATTTCAGGAAATAGAATTTTCCCTGGCTGTGCATATTTTCCTTTGTTTGATAGTGCTCTTGGAATTGGTTTTAAAATCTGGCTTTGAGGACACTGAATCAAGTAAGATGAAGAGCTAGAATCCCAAATCAAGATCCTGAAGTGTTTTTGCGTAAGATATGGACGATAGAGATATGGTTAGTCCCTGTACCTTTATTGCTGGAACTTTTTTCTCTCTAAGTTATTAAGTGGCAAATTGAGGCTTTTCCAGAACAGTGGCTATCAACAGCAGATATGTAGCACCCAGGCTTGCGCATGGCAAGAAATTGTTACTAGTAGTTATATCTCAAGAAACTTAAAAAAAAAATCAGGTTTATTCCCACAGAATGCAATATTATATGCCACACCTCTACTTTCTTCTCTGTGGAAAAACAAAATACTGAAATAAAATTTGCGTATGCATATACTTATTAAATGCTCATTATGTATGCATCATAAAATTTTAAGCACTTTAGTTGTTTAAAGGAAACTGTATTGTACCAAATACGCAATTTAAAGGACTTTTCTAAGTAAGTTTGACTATTGTGGAGTCATCTTATGCAGCTGCTCCAAATTATAGATCTGAAAATACAGATTAAATTCTTCAGGAGAAAATATTTAAAACCCTAAAGGCTGACTGGATCAGTATGAGTTTGAAGATAGGCCGCATTCTAGAGTGTGATGTACACTTTAAAAGTACTTACCCACTAGTACAACCCTGTAGATTTTCAATAGGGTAAGGCGACAGTTTTTTGACAGCCCTTCCTATGCTTGGCAGGTTACAGTAATGATTTCAGGAACGGCAAAAAGAAAGATCCCATTGTAATTTAGTTTTTTGTTCCATTCTTGGATTTAGTTTATTATTTGTGAACATTTTCAGAGTGCAGGATGGAGCAGGGAGAAAAGAAGGAGGATGTACGCCACCAAAGTTGATTGAGTGCTTATGATGGGTGTGCAGAGATCTCCAGGACACCTCACGTTTCCTATCAGAAAGCTTACAACCTCGTTGGGAAAACAGGTCATATGTGTTGGAAAAATAGTGTCTGCCAGGCAGTAAGCAAAGCACGCAGGCAAGTAACCTATCGTATAAGGTATTGTATTGTGGAATAAGATGTGCCTCAGACATTAAGTGTTGCTTCAAGATCCTATAGGACCTCCGTGTTGAATGAATTAGAAAGCGGAGAGATGACTCTGGGCTGACGTTATAACTTTCAAAGCTTGGAAGTGTTTAGAGCACCCCTTAGGGAGAGTGGAAGGGGGCGCACTACTTGCCTTTCTGGGTGGAGACCAGGGATGATAGATGTCTTGCAATACCCAGGACAACCCTGTATAACAGAGAATGTCTGTGAAGCTTATGAACACCCTGCCAAGTATCCACGTAGGCAAACAGCATGTTTGTAATCATTTGAGCCTACAAGTTCTATTTTTATTTATTTATTTTTTAAATTTATTTATTGTTATGTTAATCACCATACATTACGTCATTAGTTCTTGATGTAGTGTTCCATGATTCATTGTTTGTGCATAACACCCAGTGCTCCACGCAGAACGTGCCCTCCTCAATACCCATCACCAGGCTAACCCATCCCCCCAACCCCCTCCCCTCTAGAACCCTCAGTTTGTTTTTCAGAGTCCATCGTCTCTCATGGTTCGTCTCCCCCTCTGACTTACTCTTCATTCTTCCCCTCCTGCTATCTTCTTCTTTTTCTTTTTTCTTAACATATGTTGCATTATTTGTTTCAGAAGTACAGATCTGTGATTCAACAGTCTTGCACAATTCACAGCGCTCACCGTAGCACATACCCTCCCCAGTGTCTATCACCCAGCCACCCCATCCCTCCCACCCCCCACCTCTCAGCAACACTCAGTTTGTTCCTGAGATTAAGAATTCCTCATATCAGTGAGGTCATATGATACATGTCTTTCTCTGATTGACTTATTTCACTCAGCAGAACACCCTCCAGTTCCATCCACGTCGTTGCAAATGAGCCTACAAGTTCTAAACATAAAGTATTTTTTATGGCTTTAATATACACTGTATCTTCCAGAAGTGGAAACTACTTCTAATTTTAAGATAACTTGTATTTAACATTTTTTTGGAATCTTAGTGTTGTTCATCATTTTGAAATTGCTGTTATTGACAGAAGTGCTGCAAATCATGACTTCTGGGTTGACAACAAAATACATGCCTCTGTGACTTTGCATTTATAGTTGTTGCATTTACAGTGACTGTACCCATAAATGCGCCTGATGACTGTTCGTTATGACTTCTAGTGTAACTAGGTCCGAGAATGTGCTTATTGAAATGTATCTCTCCTTTTATTTCTCCTTTTCTGGAATTTATGTGTATAGATAGGTTGTTTATCTATGAATTTCACTCAAGATAGTAAAGGGATGTTATAAAATACTTGTTATAGCGAGGGAGTGTTGTTTCTGGTAGGATTACACTGAGTTAGATTTTTCGGGAAAGTAACTATTTGAAGATAATGAAGGATTTAAGTAAATGAGTGATTCCAGACTCAGTTGGATATTAGATTGTCAGTGGCTTAAAGAACTTTATTCTGGAGGTTTTGGGATAAAGGAGTGATTGTGAACACAGCAGTGTTTATCAGGTATTATGGATACATCTGGGAGGAGGTGTCTGGAGAAATTAGGCTGAGGCTGGGCCAGGAGTTCTGGAACTGTGTGAAGGTTACATAACTAAAGGTCTAAAGAGGGAGTGGACAGAACAGAGAGTGAGGTAAACTGAGAAGAATTGGTCAGACTTTTGGGGGAATATTCAAGAAAGACAGGTAAAGTGAAATTCTTTGATTTCTGTTTATTTCTTTTGTCCCTCTGACTTCATTTAAAAGTGCATAGAAAGTTCTCATCACAAGAAGAAAAATTTTATAACTATGTTGACAGCTATTAACTGGATGTATTGTGATCATTTTGCAATAACACAAATATTTTCATTCATAACATTGTACAACTGAAACTAATATAATTTTATGTGAATTATACCTCAATGAAAAATAGTAAAGTAAAAATAAGTGAAGCAGCTCTTTCTTCAAGGAATTTACCCTCTGTCAGGAAAAAAGATAAAAATAAAAACTTAATGTCATGTGTTAAATATAATAATAGAAATATGTACAAGGTTTAGTGTAGGATGATAGTGATTAAAATAATTACGTAGGGACACTTGGATGGCTCAGTCGGTTAAGCATCTGCCTTTGGCTCAGGTCATGATCCCAGGGTCCTGGAATCGAGTCCTGCCTCGTCAGGCTCCCTGCTTAGCTAGGAGTCTGCTCCTCCCTCTCCCTCTCCCCCTCCCCTCTGTGCGTGCTCTTTCTCATGCTCTCTCTCTCTCTCTCTCTCTCTCTCTCCAATAAGGAAATAAAATCTTAAAAAAAAATAGTTCAAAGAAAATCTTATCAAGGACACAGTACTTGAGCTGTAATTAAATGGGTGAATGCACGTGAGTTTTCATCTATTTCTTGGAAAAAGAAGAATGACACACAATTTTAGATTACTCGGGATGAAAAATCAGGCAGTGAGAACAGGAGAAGATCCCAGTTTTGTGCAGGGTTGCTGAAGGCTGGCTGTGACCCTCCATTGCAGATGGTGGCTGTGTAGGGCAGTGCCCTCTCTGCACATAGCTTTCTCGCCCCTCAGATCAGGGGTGGTAACTTGCTCCTGCCACTTCTGGAGTCTGAATTATCCCTTGTGGTTTTCCTACCTGTCAACCTTTTTTTTTTTTAAGTAAAAAAAAATTTTTTTAAATAGTCCCTTAATTAAACGCATCTCAAATTATTCAATTTGATTATGTTATCTGTTTCCTACTTGAAACATGGGTATAGTGTGTAATGACATACTGAAAAAAAGGCAAAACATACAATAAAAATAAGAGGAAAAAGTATTCTAAATTACAAATACAGTATCACAAATAAGAATAATCAGTACACATAGGGCATGATTATAGTGAGATACAGCATTCTTGGTCAGGGACATATCATATTGACAAAAATAAAGCCATTGAGGTATGGGTCATTATAATAGAAAAAATTGAATTGATAATATATAAAATTTTGAATTTACATGGGTGCCTGGGTGGCTCAGTCGTTGAGCATCTGCCTTCGGCTCAGGTTGTGGTCCCGGGGTCCCGGGATCAAGCCCCGCATCAGGCTCCCTGCTCTGCCTGAGGCCTGCTTCTCCCTCTCCCACTTGCCCTGCTTGTGTTCCCTCTTTTGCTGTGTCTCTCTCTGTCGAATAAATAAATAAAATCTTTAAAAAAATTTTTTTTGAATTTACATGTTTATATCCAATGGGCATAAAAGCACAAAGGACCTTGTACTGAACCAAATACAAGTGGGCATTATTTTATTTATTCACGTATTCATTTGTTTAGGAGTGCTTATGTGATTTCTGCTTGGGCACACTCTTCTGTGGTCCTCTTGGACATTTAATGAGCTTTAATGGCATTATCACAAGGCATATAAGCATTATGGATTTTCATTAATGGGACGCATGAAAACGCTGCTGGAAGGAAACTTGTTACTAGACTGTTTCACTTACATAGTTTTTATGCTTTGTTTTAAAATCAGCTATTAGGTCATGAGCTCAGGATCCTGAGATCAAGCCCCACGTGGGCTCCGTGCTCAGTGCAGAGTCTCCTCGAGATTCTCTCCCTCTCGCACATGCTCTTGCGCTCTCTCTCTCTCAAATGAATAAATAAATAAAATCTTTATAAAAAAATAAAATCACAGCTATATTCTCAGGGCACCTCTTTGGCTCAGTTGGTTAAGCATCTGACTCTTGATTTTGGCTCAGGTCATGAGATCGAGCCCCAGTTGGGCTCTGTGCTCGGTGGGGAGTCTGCCTTAAATTCTCTCTCTCTGCTCCTCCCGCCACTTGCATTCTCTCTCTCTCAAAAATAAGTAAAATCTTAAAAAAATAATAAAATCACAGCTGTATTCTTAACGTGGAGCTTGTAGTGGTCTATGCCAGTCTCTGCTGTCTTTGAACTCAGTGTGTGATTTCATGGAAACAGTTACCTGTTCTGATGCTGGCAGACCTTCTCTAGCTTTACAGCTCAGGGAGCGTCTCTGTCTGTCTTTGCTTTTATGGAAAGGTAAATAATATTTTGATGAGGATAAAGTTTTAGACTCTGTCTGCATTCCCTAGATCAGCACTTCTCCAACAGAAAATTAATATGAGCCACAGATGTAATTTGAAGTTTTCTAGTAACCACATGACCAAAAAAAAAAAATGTGAAATTAATTTTAACATCTAACTCAGTATATCCAAAATATCATCATTTCAACACATAATCGATATTTTAAAATTACTGAGAAATTTTACTCTTTTTCTTGCAAAGTCTTCAAAATCAGCGTGGTGTACACTTCTAGCACTCAATGTGGATGCCGAATTTTCATTAGAAATACTTGATCTCTATTTAGATTTCATAAAATGTGTAGTGGAAAAAATAGATTCACCTATCGAAGAAGTTCCCCTAAAGAGTCAAGTATCAGTTTGTAAATTTAGATTTATTTTTTATATAAATTTAGATTTAAATTAGTTACAATGAAATAAAATGAGAAATTCCATTCCTTAGTTGCACTAGTCACCTTGCACATGTTAGTAGCTCCAGTTGCTCCTAGTGGCTACCATATTGGACTGTATGGCTACAGATTATTATGATTATTATTATTTTTAAGATTTATTGATTTATTTGAGAGCGAGGGAGCGAGCATGGGTGCGTGGCAGGGAGGGGCAGAGGGAGAGGGAGAGAGAGAATCTCCAGGAGATTCCCCGTGGAGTGGAGAGCCCAACTCGGGGCTTGATATCACAACCCTGAGATCACGACCTGAGCAAAATGAAGAGTCTGTCGCTTAACTGACTGAGCACCCAGGTGCCTCAGCTACAGATTATTCTTAAAACCATACTTGACCGCTTTTGTACTTTCAGGTTACTTTTTATGCAGAAGTAGTCCATGCCACAAAGTCCTTAGAAACTTTTTACCAGATTAGGTTTATTCATCAAGGAGATAAATGCCTAGGGAAAAATAGCTCTACATGTTTGTGCTTTACTCCTGGGGCCGTGGAGTGCCTTGCACATGGTAGGTGTTTAATAAATGTTTACCTAGCTAAATCCTGTTTAGTCCTCAAATTGCAATTTAAATTGCTCTTTCTCCAGGAGGTAAGTGTATCCTGACTCTCTAGTCTATCCCGTGTTGCTTCATTCCATTTTCTCAGAGAACTGAGTTCTTTTCCTCCAGGTTATATACCCGTATACATCGATAAGATTGATTTTGTGATTAATGTCCATGTCCCTGACTAGTCTGTCTGCAAGTTCCATGAGAAGGGGGAATGTGTTTTTGTTCACTGAAGTATCCCCTGTTCTAGCGTTACACATGGTACGTATGGAATAAATATTGGTCAGATAATAATAGCACAGGACCATTGAAAATAGGAAGTGATGAGCAGAATGTCAATTCCTAACTTCATAGAAGTTGGAGTTTCTTTCGTGTTGGGGAGAAGGAATTTTTTTTAAAGATTAGATGCACTGAAAACTTAGATTCTTGGTGTTTGTTAAGCCTTTTTACTCCTGAAAGTATGCCTCTTCTTAGCTTTCTATTAATATTAATATTAATAATTATTAATAAAATAATAAATTAATATTCATTGTCTCGAAATAGCTATCACGTCACATCTGTCTCTGCTTATAACTTAAGGTACGCTGAAGACAAAAACTTAAAAAAAAATTGAATTGTAAAATACTTTTCAGGAGCTGAGAACGGTATAGGGCAAAAGCCAAGGTGCATAGAGGAAGCATCTTTTGCTGTTTCAGGACAATTTAAAATAAACCCACCTTTCCCTTTTAATTATAGCAGGGTAATGAGCCTTACCCACAATATGTGGAAATATAATTAAAAATGTATTGTGGGTCAGTAGACCAAGTTGTCAGGTCATTATCTGAATCATAAAGTTGGGTGTAATGCCCATTAAAGGTTACTAGTTTGGAAAGGTTAGAATAGAATTTAGTCTCCACAGATATAAAGTTATACAATTTTAATAATGCTTTAGAAAACTGCCAACATTTGACTTTTTTTAAAAAAGCTCCTCACATAACTGTAATAGACAGAAATGTGCGCGTGAGGGTGCAGCCTGATGAATTTCCATATTCAGATCAAGAAACAGTGCATTTGCCATCATAACATCCCAGAGTCTACCCTCTTGCTGCTCCCCCTTTCCTGCCCTCCAGGGTAAACCACTGTCTTGACATAAATAAGTTTTTCCTGTTTTTGTACTTTATATAAGTGGAATCATGCAGTATCCGCATTTGAATTATTATAATAGATTATCATTCTAAGTGACATTCCTGATAGCAATTCATTGAAAACACGGTCTGTTTTCAGTTTTCCTTATTATGTATCTAATTTGGTAAACTGGGAGTTTACAACTGTGTCTGGTTCTTTATTATTCTCTTAAGAAATTTTCTGTGTAGATGTATGGATATATGTGTGTGTAGGAACTCACTTGCATGTATACATGTATATGCTTTTAAAAATTTTACTCAAATTCGATTTTGCCCTGCTGTACATGTTATTCACCTCTTAGTTATGTCTTAAAGCCCTTTTCATATTAGCTCATGTAGATCCACTTTGTTTTTCCTAGTGAGTCGTTGTTATTTAAATTTGCATTTCTAGTTTTGAGTGAGGTTAGTTATTTATATGTTTCATAGACATTTGCATTTCTCTTGGGACCTGTCTTGTCCTTTGCTCATTTTCCTACAGGCTTGTTCATATTTTTCTTAATAACTTCAAGGAAATTCTTAATAACTTCAAGGAGCTCTTTCTATATAAATGAAATTAGCCCTTTTATGTCATTGTAGTGTTAATTTTTTTTTCAGTTTGTGTTTTTGTCTTTACTGTGTTTATAGTCATTTTGTATTCCCAGACAGAATGTTTACATTTTTATGTGGTGAAATGTACCAGTTTTTTCCTTACTGCCTTCTGAATTTTGTGTTTTTAATGAGAAAAAGCATTGGAAAGTTGAGACACATAGATAAATAGACAGACAGACAGCAAGATAGATAGATAGATAACTGCAGCCTGGAATGGAAAAAAAAAAATCTCAAGAAACGTTTGTGGGAAATGTGGTTAAACAGAAATTCAAATTTCAACCAAATGTGTTGTGACCAACTATAAATAAACAAAAATTTGACTTTAACGTTTCTGACAGCTTTTGGAAGAATTGTCAATACTATGCTTTTTTTTTTTTCTTCTATGCTTTGTTATTCAGGGTTTTAATTTCTCCAATGATCCCTCTTTTCAGATTTCAAATTATAACCTAGTTCCTGCACCACTGCTGGCGACCCGTGACCCATGTCAGAAGTACTTCCAGGTCAGACACACTTTCGCATGTTTCAATGCAGAGAAGCAGTTGAATATTAAAACTTGAACAAATAGATGTGCTGGATGATTGTTTTGATGTTGGACATGGTTTGCTAAAATGACATGTTTTTGCTTTTTCTTGTTCACCTAATGTAGGGAAGTAGATTGTTAAAGTAAGATAGAAGAATCCACTGGACTTACCTGTATTTGTGTAATAATTGCATGACTCTAGTAATAGCATAATGATAGCATAATGTGAAAATATTTTAGTTGATTATAACAGGAAACTAAAACTGTGTCAAATTTTGCCATCTAGCATTGCATATGGTAGCCTGTGAACACTTACATATGAACAATGAAATGTCGGTGGTGCATCTCCATAAACAGCATCTTAGCCATTGTTGAGTTTGTCTAGAGTAGAACTCCCCAATTCAGTATTCTCTCCGATCTAGCGCTGATTATATTCAGGCCTTAAGGAAACCACCTTAATTTTATTGTATATCCCTTTCTTTGTGTCATGGTGGATGCTAGTCTATACACAATGTGGTGTGGGATTTACTTCTTCGCCTCGCAGTAATGTAATAAGGAAAAAGTAATTGCGATAACATTTTAAATTAAACAGAGGATAGGACTGCACGTGAAAGATGAATCTGGTGGAACCTGTATTTGTTAGGATACAAACCACACAGCAAATTCTGAGTGTTTAAGTAAGTAGGTTTCAGCCATGGACAAATAGATATTAAAGTCTCTCAGTTCTGTAATTAAACTCCGGAAGTACATCCAAGCTATTTTCTCCTTTATATAATACTGCATGTTCTGTTTCAACAGAAAACTAAATAAAACATAATAGAATAAACACTAAGCTCAGTAGAGATATATGAACCACAGGTAATACCTTTTTTATTCAAAACAGCCAAAAACAATGTGACAAGCCTAAATTCACACAGGAAAATTAGGAACTTAGAGCCAATTCTTAGAGGCCATCTGATCACACTGTGATAATTTAGGGGCAGGGAATAGATTTTCTTTGTAAATACATATTTGAAAAGGCTTATTAATTTTGGTAAATCAAGGCAAATACATGTGTCCTTTTAAAAAACTCCATTTAAATTGTTGAGAATGATTCCTTTTAGGAATTCTTTAGCATTAAAAAATTTTTATTACATGGCAAGATAGGTTTTATATAGAAACTTAAGAACAAAGCTGGCAAGTATATAAAATGTGTTTTCCTCTAAATCAAGTAACTTCTAGGAATTTCTTACTGTCACTTATATTTTATTGTGCTAATGTATTCCTTCTTCCTAATAGTACTCAAGTTGCTTTTATTCACTGGTAGTTATATAAGAGATAATGACACTGTTATCCAGCAGGGTTTTTCAATGACAGCTACTACTATCGTGTATTGGTATAGGATGCGACACATTTTACAAGGAAAGCAGTATTCTTATTTCAGTGGAGTGCATAGTCCAATCGTTTTTTACTTGAAAATTCAGGTGGCGGCTAGTGCAGGAAAGTCTGGACTGGTACCTGAGATCAGGTAGCCTTCTGTCCCATTTCCCGACTCCTGGGAGCTGTGACTAGAGGGAGCCTTTTAAAAAACAAACATACCCCAGAACATACACCGTTATTTGCCTGGAAGATTCCTCTTGAACATTCAAGATTCAACTCACGAGTCCCTTCCAAGCAGTTCTTAGCCTGTGACATAGTCTAATAGTTCCCTGTTTCAAGGATTTTGCCATTGTTTTATATTCCCTGTTGGAATTGACTTGAGGCCCAGCTTGTCAGTTACTCAGGAAAACCTGTGTCATTACTTGATCGCTCACCTGCTTTTTCTCACCTAAACCAGTATTCTCAAGCTTGATCATTGACCCTATTCATCAGACTTGGTCATAAAAATCTAGAGCTGTATTTAAAACATACATTAATCTTCCGAAGATGTTAAACCTCTTCTAAACGATGAAAATGGCTTAGAAATTGAGCAGAGAAAATATCCTTGGGATAAGCATATACTGTTCCAAGGTGAACTGCTTTGAAGGTCTTCATTCTTATTTGAATATACAAATTCTGACTTGGGTTTCCAAAACAGCTAATCTTCAGATTTGCCAGGGTTGATTTTGGAATGCCAGGTTCCCTCATCTGGCGTGCCTCTCTCATCCTGGGCCACCGGTGGACTCCTACCTAACCTTCAAGACCCAGCTCAGCTGTGCTTTTTCAGGGATGCCTTCCCTAAACCTCTTTCCTTATCCCAAATGCCTTTTTCTCATAAGACTCTCTGTCTACTTGAGCCATGGTGAGTTTGTTTAATAACTGTTTCTTCTCATTGCTCACTCTGAGTTTCTTGAAGAAAAGTATCTGGTACATCTCTCTTGAGTCTCTGCAGCTCCCCTTGGGATGTTTAATAAAGCCTGTCCTCAGGCAATTAAGTGGAGTGGGCATGGGAAACCGTTAGGTGGGTGAGACCTAGCTGTTGAAATCACCCTCTTCCCCTAAACCCTGGGGAAGTTGCCCTGTGAATCAGCTGTGTGAAGCCGCCCTCCTCTGGCTTTAGAAACTTCTAAGGTTAGGGACGCCTGGGTGGCTCAGTTGGATGAGTGTCTGATTCTTGGTTTCGGCTCAGGTCATGATCTCAGGAGGTCATGATCTTAGGGTCCTGGGATTGAGCCCCACAGCAGGCTCTGTGCTCAGCAGGGAGTCTGTTTGAGGATTCTTTCTCCCTCTCTCCCTCTGCCCCTACCCCCCGCTTACATGCAGGCGTGCTCTTTCTCTCTCTCTAAAATAAATAAATAAATTTTAAAAAATAAAAAAAAGAAACCTCCAAGGTTGTAATCCTGTGATCTCTCTCCCTCAGTGACCTATATAACCTTTGCCTCTTTTGTTCAGAGAAGTTCTTATCATTTTCGCCACATTGAGAGTTTACTTTCAAGAGTAATTTCAGGAAACCAGCCTTATTTTGCCTCTCCTTCCTAAAAGAAAAAAAAAATCTGAGTTATTTCATTTCCTTAATACTTTGAGGTCTAGTTCAAAAGGCAACGTTCCTCAGGGTAGAAGTTTGGCTGTTAACTCCTCAGTGGAAATAAAACTGTGCAGCAGAAAAATGAAAGTGAAGAAACTGTGAAGTTTCCCTGATGAGCAGGGCAAACATGGAGCTTCCCTGGGCCATTTGTCAATTTCCAATTTTATCAGCGTGTCGTGGGAGCACACGGAGAGCCGCGGGGTATGGAGAGAAGAGTTTCCTATCGCTCCTGACAAAAATTTTTCTTGGACAGATGCCTAGAGGTCTCAGAAAAGAGAAACCGCGGGGGCAGGTTTAACTACAGGTCCCAGCTTAGGTTTATATTAGGATGTCATCCAAATTATGGGGTCACATCTCTGTGCTGGGATCTTTGTGACTCTGGGTTTCTGGAAAGCTTTGTTAGCCATGGAATTTAAGGAACCCTGGCCTACTTCATTCTGTTTAGGACTCATAAAAAATACTCCATTTATTAAAAAAGCCTTTTTTTTTTCAGTTGCTAAAAGGAGAAAACTCTTAAGCATATGCAAAAAATCAGTTGACTTTAATACCCAAGAAGTCTAGGGGTATCATGTTTTAGGTGTGGCTTGTTTTAGGGATTCCAACAATGTCATTAGAGCTTCCTCCTCTCTCTCTGTCTCATGGATCGACTTGCTCATAGGTCCATGCTAACTCAGGTTGCCTCTTGTTGGTGACCCTTCAGAGTTCTCGGCTTATATCTTCTAGTTCAAGAAAAAGAGAAAAGAGAGTACCCCTTTTCGGATCATTCCGGCAACAGTCCTAGGACTGGCTTTGTGTGGGTCGCATGCTTTTCCTTGAGCCGGTCACCATAGCCATGGGGATTTGCTACTGACTGGCTGGGCCTGGGCCATGTGTTCCATAGATTAAGGGGCAGCGTCATCTCTGCCTGAAACTCGCGGGCTTGAACCCCTAGAACGTAAGCTGCGCAAGAGCAGGTATTTTTATTTCGTCAGTTTTGTTCACTGCTATAACCTTAGCAGCTAGAACCACATCTTTTGCGTGGTCGTGCACCCCCGAGACTCTGTTGAACGAAGGAATGAGAGTGTCGCAAGTTAGATTCCTCAAGAAAATGGTGGTGCTGTGAGCCTTATGATGTGTAAATTATATCTCAATAAAACTGTCCTAAAAAATGAATAAAACAAGGAACTTACAGTTTAGAAGGGGAGGTAGACATCTCAATTGGTATTTATTAGGTATAGTGTAGAAGTGCTGGTGTGAACAGCCTGCTACATACCTAGCGTGGCGGAGGGGGCAGCCATCAGGGTGTATAGGAATCAGAGGAATGCTAAAGGAGCTGGGTTTTGAAGCATTTATAGGAGTTTTCAGGCAGGGTATAGAGGGTGGGCGGTGAGTAGAGGGGATGAGGGCAAAGGACATTCCTAGGAAGAGGAGACAAACTTGTGCAGGGGGGAAAGAGTCGAGAGGGCATTGTTAGGAAAGTTGATTGTGGCTGCAGTGAAGAGAACATGGGGGGTGAGGGGAGATGTGACTGGAAGGGTCATTGAGATTAGCATAGGGGAATTTGAAGTGGTTTAGAGTGAGCTGAATTTGAATACCAGGGGGCCAGTAGATGGTTTTAAGCAGGAGAACTACATGATCAGTTTGTTTTTAGAATGATACAGGGCAAAATGTGTCAGGCTAGACTGCAGAGCTGTTATGCTTGCAGATTTGGAAAGAAACAGTAAGTGATGCGGGCCTGAAAGCAGGCATGGAGGAGGTGGAAAGGGGAAACACGATTTACTAGAGGAACACTTCAAGGAAAATTGAGAGAATTCAGTAGGATAAGAAACTCACGGAGGGCTGTTCCGATACTTCTAGTCTGGGAAATGTAGGATGGCAATGCCATGAATTCTCACGTAGGGTTTCGCCCACGTGTCCGTGGATTTAACTCCCTCCATCCCCCCAATTTATAGGGAGTATTAGACCAAGTGGTCTTTGATCTCAAATCTATGGAAAGATCATGGGAGGCAAAGATAAAT